AGAGGGAGGAGACAACAAGTTGTATTGAAAGGCAGGGTAGTTCTTCACGTCGCAAGTTTGTTGCCATGAATCATTTTGAGCTTTAAATAGACATTGTGGATATGTGTGCAAGGAGACTGCATGAAGTCTTTGGGTTTGGTCAAATCCTTCCAGATGAATCGAGTTATAGACTGAAAAAATATGATTAGTTTGGCCTAAACAGCATCTTAGTGATAGGGGTCTTGTAATGAGAGGTGTCTTAGCTCACAGACTGCAGGCTTGCACTGCATATTGCACAAACATCAGTGAAAGGTGCAATTGCTTGCAGTTTTACTGATGGTAAAGGAACCAAAATATATTGTCCAGAGCAGTTGTATAGGGTGTACTGTAGAGCATGTCTTCAGCCATGCAGTATTTGCAGTGGGTCAGTCCAGACACAGAGATGCTTTTTTCCTGTGCTAGAAAGCTTGAGCAGCACTTCTGCTGAACCCTTTTGTCTTTTTCTCTTTTTGGGGACAAATTTCAAGTCTCCCTAAGGGATAATCAAAATGCAGTAAGGGGATTGTAATGGATTCAGTTTTGTCCTAATCAAACTGCAGTGGCAATGTGTGGTTTACTTGCATTCAACTGAGTGTGATAAGAGGAAGGTGATGCAGCTGAGTCCCACCGCCTGCTTCCTCCAGGCAGCTCAAAGGACAGCAGGGGTGAAAAAACATCAGTCATTTTCTATCTATGTGACATTGATTAATTGTTCTGAACTGCCTTTCTGTGCCTTGGTTGCACTGCTGTTTGCTTCGGCCCTCAGAAAAGATGGCTTAGAAAGGCAGCGTTAATGTGGTTCCAGGAAAAAAACCAAAAAGCTGAGAAAAATGGAATGCTTTGTTTCATTGGCTGCCTTTGCAAACAGAATCTGAGGGTTCTGTTCTATAAAGTCAACTATAATTTCTGCAATTAGATTTTTACTTCATTTATTGTTAATGTTTTAAATGCTAAGATTGAAGTATGGATTAATTTAAATCATGGAATTTTAGTTCTCAGAGGCTCTTTAGTCTTACTGAACTAACATTTAAAAAAAAATTTAGAAATTATTATCATAGGATGTTAAAAGAGATCAAATAGTACTTTTTGTAGCAGTTCTGAAAATCTGTATGTTCAAACTAGGTTAAGCTTCCCAGCTACGCAGAAGCTATAATGCCTTTTTTTCCATACCTCATCCTTCTGTCTGTCAAATCTCTGTTTAAATAATCTGTGAAACCATTTTTGCAATTCTGATGCAATTTATTGCGTCCAAATAATCAAGCCGCACAGGAATTGAAGCGGAATCTCCAGCTAATGGTTAAATTATGAGGAAAAAAAACAAAACAAAGGAAATGTATTTTTTCTTTTATACAGTATTCGTACCAGCTATTTTTGTTGAAAAGTTTTTTTCGATGTTTAGACTTCAGCCTATGACAAAAAGTCCTGCATTTGTTATTTATAATTTATAATCTGTCAGTTTACTGTTTGTGGATGCAACTGAGAATTGTGGTAGATGGAGAATTCTGAAATTCTTAGAGAATTTGAAACCAGCAAGTTTACAAATTGCTGTTTGTTTTCATTTTTGCAATAAGAATATTGAAAAAGTTTCAGCTTTTTAACAGAACATGACAGTGGTTTTTAAAATCATGGTAAGTAATGAACAACTGGGAAATACTTTGGATGCAGTGAGATAGAAAAGTAGTAACAGTGGATGTGGCTAGTGTGAGGGACAGAGATGACTAAGGCAAGCGAGGCATAAGGTAAGAGTAGCAGAGAACTTAGAACTATAGATGGAGATCATATCCTTCTATAATGTGTTTAGTAAAATCATCTGTTGAGATGTAATTCTTGTGGTTTTAAAATGACAGTTTGAAAAGGCTCAGCAGTGGGCTTCCTACATATTTACAAATATAACTTCATGTGCAGGTCTTATTAAGGACTGAAAATAAATAGAGATTATTTTTCTCTAGTAAATACAAGCAGCAATCTTCACAAAAGCATTGTGAAAATAAGAGATACCACTTGGTAAGCTCATTAAAAACAAGACTGAAAAGCCTTTATAGGTAATATTTCCTTGCAATATAGAATCATAGAATAGTTAGGGTTGGAAAGGACCTTAAGATCATCTAGTTCCAGCCCCCCTGCCATGGGCAGAGACACCTCACACTAAACTATGGCACCCAAGGCTTCATCCAATCTGGCCTTGAATACCGCCAGGGATGGAGCATTCACAACTTCCCTGGGCAGCCCCTTCCGGTGCCTCACCACCTTTACAGTAAAAAATTTTCTCCTCATATCCAATCTAAACTTCCCCTGTTTAAGTTTTAACCCGTTACCCCTTGTCCTGTCACTACAGTCCCTAATGAAGAGTCCCTCCCCAGTATCCCTATAGTCCCCCTTCAGACACTGGAAGGCTGCTATGAGGTCTCCATGCAGCCTTCTCTTCTCCAGGCTCAACAGCCCCAACTTCCTCAGCCTGTCTTCATATGGGAGGTGCTCCAGCCCCCTGATCATCCTCATGGCCCTCCTCTGGACTTGTTCCAACAGTTCCATGTCCTTTTTATGTTGAGGACACCAGAACTGCACACAATACTCCAAGTGAGGTCTCACAAGAGCAGAGTAGAGGGGCAGGATCACCTCCTTCGACCTGCTGGTCACGCTCCTTTTGATGCAGCCCAGGATGCGGTTGGCTTTCTGGGCTGTGAGCGCACACTGAAGCTGGCTCACGTTCATTTTCTCACCAACCAACACCCCCAAGTCCTTCTCTGCAGGGCTGCTCTGAATCTCTTCTCTGCCCAACCTGTAGCTGTGCCTGGGATTGCTCCGACCCAGGTGTAGGACCTTGCACTTGGCATGGTTAAACTTCATGATGTTGGCATCAGCCCACCTCACAAGCTGCTCAAGGTCCCTCTGGATGGCATTCCTTCCCTCCAGGGTATCAACGGAACCACACAGCTTGGTGTCACTGGCAAACTTGCTGAGGGCGCACTCAATCCCACTGTCCATGTCACCAACAAAGATGTTGAACAAGACCGGTCCCAACATCGATCCCTGAGGGACACCACTCGTTACTGGTCTCCAGCCGGACATTGAGCCATTGACCACAACTGTTTTTGTGTGGCCATCCAGCCAGTTCTTTATCCACCAAGTGGTCCATCTGTCAAATTGATATCTCTCCAATTTAGGGACAAGGACGTCAGTTGTAGATGGTTTAGGAAATTTATGAACTTTGAACCCAGTGGGAAACAGGGTTAGGAGAAGCAGATGAAAGGTGGGGAAAAAAAAAACCAAACAAATTCTCTTTAATGTCCTCCTGTTCAGCCTTCTCAGTAAACTTGTGCTTAATACTCAAAAATATGAATATTGTTAATTCAGGTAGCCCCTTCAATATCTGGAAATCAAGAAAACTTGGTGTCTCAAAACTGCTTTTTAGATCAGGTTTTCAAATATGCAAATAGTAAACCCTATGGCTAGTTGAAATTGCTAATGGATTTCAGTTTGTGTCACTTTTACGTGACAGATGCAAACTTACACGTTTGCCTTAAATTTATATAGCATGAATCTGTTCCTGGAGCTCCTAATATCTGTAAATCTAGTTTTCTGCTGTCTTCTTCTTACAAGGATTTTTAGATACAGGGGGAGAGAGAAATTAATAACTGCTGTGCCTATGGAGAAATGGGTTCTTTATCCCTTTGTTTAGTCCTGTATAAAGTTACAGAAAGTTACAGAGCTGTAAAGGCTTTTCACATCTTCTTCATTGAGTATGTTTGCATGACAATAAAATATACTGCTAGTTCATTAAACTGGACTTAGAGATCCACACGTAGTCTCCTGTCTTCTGTGTGAAAAGTGAAACATCTCTTCTTAGAGATTATGCACAAGTTCTCTTAAGACAGCATGGCAGGTTTGATTTTTCTCCTCATGTTATTTTGGAATCTGAAAGTGCTTTTAAAAGCTAGAACAGACCTTTGAATTATGTAAAGAATAAATGTAGGAGAACTTGATGTGCTATGGAACTGTAGCTGCATTAGGGATGGAACCAGGTCTTGATCAGAGCAGGCTAGGACAAAATGTTAAACAGAAGCATCCAGGTCTGGAATTTTTCTAGGACAAAAACTCTTACTTCAATTTAGCAACACCAAAAAAGTGCTACAGTCAAGAAAGCCTGATAGTTTGTAAAAAAAAAAAAAAAAATAAAAAAAAATACAAAAACAAAAAACCTCACTGTTAACAATGTGTATACTTGAAATGCTCTGAAGATTTGTGTTAATGTTTCCTGCCAGATAAAAACATCACCTAATGAGAACTCAAATAAAAAGCAGTGCAAATACAAACCACATGCCATTTGCAATAGGAAGTGGAATAGGTTTTTGTGGTTACTTAGTTTTGCTCAGTAGTAGTGATCCATTTAAATTAGGGAGCACAGCAAAGGAATAGTGCAGTATTAAGTATCGCGGAGTAGCAATTTTGCTTTTAAAATACTGTTTTATTATTGCTAATTTGCTTATTTCGTGGGTGGAAATCCAAGTTGAACAACTTAAAGATATTATATATAATTTCATGAAAAAATCAGTTGATATTTGATGCTCAGAGGGTGGAGGGAGATAGTACAACAGCCCTTGGTACCTGTCCAGCTGGGTGCGTAGTGGTGTGCAGATCCAGCACAACCAGATTCGAAGAGAGGTTAATGTACCCAAGGAATACAGAGGTTTTCACCAATCACAAATAAAATACTGGTGTACTTTGGGTAGGTCATCTGAGAAGTAAAGCATCAGATGTAACTCGGCACCTCACCAGATTTAACTGCAGTTAGTTAGAATTAGGTTTGCTGTCAGGACCATTGCTTAGACCTTAGAAAAATCAACCTTTATAGACTAGTTTAATTCTGATTAATTGGGAACAGTGTCTCATGCAGCATAAGGGAATGTAATGCATCTTTACTGTTGCTGTGCATGGTTCAGTAATGTAAGCATAACCTAAATATTTCCTTTTTACTTCTGCAGGAGAAAGTCTGAGAGGAGAAATAACAGTCCGCAAGAACAGAAAGGATCCACGGTCCCTCTTTATAACCCTCTCCATGAAGGACACACATCAGACCTACAGCCTTCAGTGAAAATTGTGTTCATATCAATGTTAAATTTAAATGTTAGAGTTACCTGTTGCTAACTGTTTCTAAATATCCCAAAATTATAAGCTCTGGGGTATACACACACACAAGAATATGCAAAGCTTATCTAGAATGGAGGGAGAAATGTTTGGATGGTTTTGCATCCAATGGAGATGTGGAGACTGACTACAGAATCAGATTCTGCTGTGTTTCACATGATGTGGGGAAGGCAAGAAAGATGGTTTTGGTTACCTGAGTCTACTAGGTGAGAAAAATGGGATTAAAGTCTTGCTGTGAGGAATAATAAATACAGTCTCTCAATATTCTTTTCTCTCCAGCTGGTGAAATCCTTTTATAATTTATTTTATTTTTCAGAAGAACCTAAGTCGAGGTGCCAGTGCACCTCAACAGTAGCCAGAAGGTCCCAGTGAGAATAAATGTGGAATTCCAACTGCAGGATTGCAGCAACAAAAACCTTATTTTTATTACACTTCTATAATTAAAAAGTTGTATCACTGTTCAATTACATTTATCTAAATAAATGAACTGAGTATGTTGTATAATGCAGTTGCCAGTTTCCTTGTTTTCTTTGTAATTGGAAATTCTTCTCTCTCTCCACTGATGGCTCATTTATTTGTGGCTAGTTTTTTTATGTACTAGCCTACCAGAGCATGGAAATATGTGTTTTAGCAGCTTTAGGATAAATAGTATGAAGAAGTTGCTGAAATGGTGGATTTGATTTAGCTGCTTACAGAAACAGGCTAAGAACAACCAAGGATTGATGCATGTGTTGTGATATTTCCACATTTGAAACTGCAGAAGAGTTGGAAATAAGTGTAATGCTGTGCAGTTTATGTGCTTGTATTCTATATTTGTGTGAAAAGTGGTTTCAAAAGTCATTTCAAGAAGCAGAAACAGCAGCATTTCACTAGTGATCTCTGAACTGCTATTAAAATTATGTTAGGGCCTCTTCTGAAGGGTGAAGTTGAGAAGGAAATCTGCTCAACAACGCTTAGCTAATTGTATATTGTGTAATGGGGTGAAATACATTTTGCCTAGCTAAAGAGGAGTGTTAGCCATATTAATGCCACTTTGACAGAAAAGTGGAACCTTGTATTCTGAAAGCTGAAATTCTTCTGCAAAGCAGCACTTAATTTCATACAGTGAAGCCAGCGTTGAACAGGAAGTGACAATTGCCACAGTGCTACTGTATTTTTAACTGAAAAGAGTTGTGGATTTGTATTTCGTCTTACACTGCTTTATTTGCCCTTGTGTAAACATGTGGTTTCCTCATTTGCATCCAAATAATATCCTTGTTTTGGGAGGTGAGGTGGAGATTCTTTCCCGAGTGAAAACTATTGAATTACCTATAGATGATTAAATGTTCTGGTTAACACCTAGATACTCAAGAGCTCAACTCACATATGTAGCTTAATAGGAACACAGTGATAGAGATGATGTGTTTAAGGCTTGGTGCTCTGCTAACATTTTTCTATCTCAGTGACATCTGTTCTTTTTGAAAATACATTGAGCATCTTCACTTGTTAAAATGCTTGAGTGTGGTTATCTTGAAACTCAGACTGTTCAACTCTATAAAAATTGACCTTGCAGATGAAGTGGCAGCGGTTACCATTGGGCTGATAAATGGAGTTTGTGATGGAGTTATTGTTATTGGACAGTAAATACGCAGGCTAAGGGATGGACTGATAATTTTGTCTATTGCCTGTAGAATCACAGGATATTGACAAAATGAAATTCTCTTATGGTATTCTCAGTACTATAAGAGCCAAAAGCTGAAAGAATCTCCATCTGATTTTGATCATCTGATGGGTAGTTGACTGTGGAAGCTTCATGTATGTTTAGTGTCACTAATGCTCTGACTAGTCTTGGACTAGATGGTCTTGTCAAGGTCCCTTCTAACTTCAGTTTTTCAGTGCTTCTACAGATTTTGTGTAACCTTCAGTAAGAGGGCATAAAATGGAAAAAAGGCCGAAAATGTATAAAAGAAAATGGTGAATGTTAGCTTTTATTTTGTAAAAAAATTAAATGAGCACCCCCCCCACTGCATCAGAAGAGAGGATTTGGTATCATTTAATCAAAAGACAGTGTCCTGAAAAGACCTCAAGTGGTGTAAAGCCTGAGGAGGGCCTTTTGATAAAGGCATTGTAGTTTCAAAGAACTTAAAATACATGAGTGGGAATGGATCTAATAGGCAGCATCACACAGCAGCCTGTGGAAATAGCCCATCAATTCTAAGTGGCTTTTCTCACCCTAGCAGTTGAATAATACCAGGTTCATCTGACAGCACAATCAGTTATTTATGATTCCTAATGGTAATTCTAAGAATTAAATGTTGTAGGAAATGTGATCAATCAATACACTTTTAAATGGACTCTAATACTGAATCAGAGGCAGAAAAGTGGAAAGTAAATGCTTTGACTAGAAATACCCCTAAATTTCTCCTATGAGAGAGAGTACTTCATGCAAAATGTGATCCTTTATTCTAAAGCATGTGGACAAAGGTGGAAATAACCTGAAACTGAAGTAAAAAAAAAGACAAAACCAACGTCAACAACAAAAAAAAAGAACAACAAAAAACCCCAAACAAACAAATCTTAATAGTGTGGCAATCGCTGTAAATACAGTTGTGCATTCTGCATAGTTCATATAATCCCAGACTGGTTTGAGTTGGAAGGGACTTTAAAGCTTGTCAAGTTCCTTGCCATGGGCAGGGACACCTTCCACTAGACCAGGTTGCTCCAAGCCCCATCCAGCCTGGCCTTGAACACTGCCAGGGATGGGGCAGCCACAGCTTCTCTGGGCAGCCTGTGCCAGTGCCTCAGCACCCTCACAGGGAAGAAATTCCTAAGAGCTCATCTCAGTCTCCCCTCTGTCAGCTTAAAGCCATTCTCCCTTGTCCTGTCCCTACAGGCCCTTGTCAAAAGCCCCTCTCCACATTTCTTAGTATCCCTTTTAGGCACTGGAAGCTGCTCTTAGGTCCCCTCCGGAGCCTTCTCTTCTCCAGGCTGAACAAGCCCACCTCTCCCAGCCTGTCTCCGTCAGAGCTGCTCCAGCCCTTGGATCACCTTCGTGGCCTCCCCTGGGTTGGCTCCAACAGGTAATGTTCAGGAGAGCATTTCTTTTTCCAGGTGCCAGTGGTAAATTCTCTTCCAGCTACCTCTGCTGCATGCAGACTCCAGGTGATGTCAAGTACTTGTGCAGATACTCAATGTCTGACCTGTTTAATGAAACAGCTACAACTCATTCCTATGGAAAAGCAAACTCTGCCATCCTTGGGTGTTTTTCCTCCTAGGGAGGGTGAGGAGAATCATGCAGATTTATCTGTACTGGGTGTTCTATCCCTTCTGCTAACCTGTCTTCAAGCTGCTTATCCTCTTACCTGCAGTTACAATACCCTAACCCACTTCTGTACCCTCAAGGACATTTGCTCCCTACATATTCTCTTTAAATTCCTTTTATTATATGATGATACAGCCCAGTTGTAGAAACACAGCTGTTTGTCAGTTATTTGCGTATCAGGTTTTTTAATAGATTTTAACAACTGGGATAGTCATCGTTTCAGATCCAGATTTGTTACTTTAGTCTATTGTTCTGGTTTAGGCTGGGATAGAGTTAATTTTCTTCCTAGTAGCTGGTAGATGCTGTTTTGGCTTTAGTCTGATGGGGAAGAGGAGAGTGAGTGAGTGGCTGCATGGTACTTAGTGTCTGCTTCTGTGTTCATAACAGAAAGAAGTAAATTGTAGAGAGCCTGATTTTCACTTATCGTCTGACTGTATGTGTCTGCTACACCAGCTCGTATAAATTGAGCTGATCTACCTCACAGCATTTATCTCAGTAGCAACTCTTTATGTGACAAAATCTGGGATTTTTTTCCCCTAAGAAATACCAAATTGGCATATCCTATACGTTAGGTTTTTTCACTAGCTTGAAATTAAAATACGGCATTTATTTCCTTCCTCTCTGTCCTTGAGGTCTTTCTTCTCCTGACTCTTTTTCCTCTCTGTACTGGTATGTGCAGATAGAGTTTTCCATGCAGATGCCATCCCCTATGGCTGGTGGTTGGCTGCTGTTTGCTTACATGACTCATTTTCCCCCTCATGTTTCTTGTCTGACATGATATGCAGAGCTTTTTGCTGTTGGCTGCATTTCAGAGCACATATCTCTTGTCCCTGGCCTTGGGGGTTTGCCTCTTCTAGGTTTTTTGTTGGCTTTTATTTTACGTGAACTTCTCATGTGCCCTGACAGCCTTCCCTTATTTCTGGTGACCCTTATGCTTGTTATCTGAAGGCTCTCCCTCCCATGTTAGACTGCTCCTCTTCTCGCTGCTCCTTCTTCTGTTCTAAATATTGACTGTGCAGATTATTCTTGAGAGGTGCAACAAACTGTGTACAAGTTAAAGCTTTGCTTCAGCAATCAGCAGTGCCCAGGGCGTAGTTGGTTTGCCGGCGCAGCAGAAACAGGAAGGCAGGTGCAGTAAGACAGATACATAAAAGGGTTGTTGCAAATGGAGAACTCCTAAAGCACACTGAAAAATCTGATTTGGTCTATGATGTGTTTCTTTGTATCAAGAAAAAAATAATACAGAGATTGGTAATTTCAGGTCTGTAGTCAGATGCATGAAGTAATACGAAATGTTAAAGTACCTTGCTTAAGGTGTGTAATTTCATGTGCAGAAAGAAAATAGCCTTTTATTTAGGACCTTTAATTCACTTTATACATTAATTTTGTGAAACTTTTGCACCCAGTAAAAGGCAAACAAATACATGGTGGTCGTAGCATGTCTGGTTTCCAAAAGGATAAAAATTTGCCTGCCCTAAATTGTAGGTGGCAACTATACATGTAATGAGAAAGAGTCTTTATTTACAAAACCAAGGAATGTGCATGGTAGATGCTAGCAGTGTCATGGAAGTGTGTATACATATATGTCTTATATACCCATATATGCTCATACACCCATACTGGGGGCAAACTGAAATTTTCCAGTTTTCACCCTGCATTTCCAAAATACTGTATACTAATGACACTGTTTATGAATGCACATTGTATTCACTGAATGTTTTGTGGTTAAACTAGTTTTTTCTAGAAAAATACAAGTGTAGATTCATCACTATAGTTGTGATCCTCTTGACTTATCTTTAATATCCTATAATCATTTCTACCTTACTCTCTTGAACGAGAAATCATTAAGAAAAAAATGCTGGTTTGGCTATAAATGATTTTTTTGCCATGAAAGTATGTTTTTGTCATGCTTAATAATGAAGTCCCAGAGTTCTGAAGAATGTTCAATGTGCAGAAGTTTTTAATGTTTAATCCAATAGTTAACCTTCTTTGCAAGGAATATTCTAAACTGTCAGTTATCAATCTTCATTCAGCTGAAGTAATTTACATTATACATAGGCCAAGGTTGAAGGTGTTAAGATTGACTAGTGATTCGTAGAAGTTCTTTTAATATTTGGATAAAACTGAAGGTTAACCCTGCCTTCTCCTGCTTGCAAATCTGTGCCCAATGTCTACTTGAAGATTATTAGCCCCACCTGAAAAG